TCTTCCCACCAGATAGGGCAGAGCTTCTAGGAATGAGTGGGGAACCCTTGAGCAAAGCTGCTCAAAGCAGCTCCAGGCAGGGCTGGAGCAGAGCAGCAGAGGCCAAGGTACAAGCCCTCTGCTCCATGGTCACGCAGATGACATGTGCAGCAGCTCCTGTGGCTTGGGATGGGGAGTGGGGAAGCCAAAAGGCTGTAACAAAGCACCTCTCACATCCATTGGAACAGGAGAGGGCCCACACCAGAATCAAAAGGTTTGACAAGCTGGAAGTGAGCGGAGGTTAATGCAGGCAAAGCACATCCAAAGGATGCATGGACCACATCTGCAACAACCTCCTCCGGCCTCAGCAGCTCACCCCTTTCCCTGCATGGGGAGTGCTTCCCGGCCATTCCCGGGCTCATTCCCGGCCATTCCCGGGCTCATTCCCAGGCTCATTCCTGGCCATTCCTGGGCTCATTCCCAGCCATTCCCGGGCTCATTCCCGGCGCCCCCCTCACCGTGCAGGTGGTGAGCAGCCAGCCGATGATGGCCCAGCGCGGGAGGATGTCGGAGCTGAGCACCTCGTTGGAGGGATGCACCACGCCACAGATGTAGCGGATGAGGGCGCAGCGCAGGGACTGGCTGTCCGGGGTGGACAGATACTGCCTCTGAAACCAGTCCTGGTACCGCTTCTGCTGCCCAAACCGCACCTGGAGGCCAAGGGGAGACACGTGGGGCTCAGGGAAGCAGCCTCCGCTCCCCACCAGCCCCGTGCTGGAACAGGCTTCAGAGAGGCTGAGCTCATGGGCCCACAGAACCCCCGTGAGCAGGGCTGTGAACACAGATAAGGGTTAATCCCAGTGCTGGAGCTGCAGCCCGGCCTCTCCTGGCCACAAGTGCTGTTGTCAGAGCTCCGATAACCCACCGCAGTGCTCCCTCTCCTTGGGAAGCAGCCAGCCAGAAGCAACATTCCCTGGCAAAGCTGGATCGTGCCTCTTATGGATCCCAGGGATGTCTTAGGCCCATCTCCTGGCACTGTCAGATGCCAGAAGCCACAGCCTGCAGCAGTAAAGCTCTGCCCTTTGCCCACATGGATGCCCTGCGTTCCCTGTGCTGGAATGGGAGTGGGAATGGGATTGATACCCCCCTGCCCTGTGCTGCCACAAGGGATTTACCCGCGAGGTCATGAAGAGCAGTTTGGTTTCCATGTCGGGAGTGAGGCGACAGGCCAGGAACTTGCGGGATGTCCTCGACTGGAGGAGCTGGAGGACACCTGAGGAGAGACAGGAGAGACTCAATCCCACTCAGGCTTGTACGGCATGAGCGGGATCCAAGCTAGGATCTGCCCCCACCTGCATCGAGCTCAGGTTGGAGCATTGAGCTTCCCTTCCCCAGGGCTACAGGCAGGGGGAAGGGATCAAGATTTGGGCTGGAAAAGGTCTCCTTGTTGGAGCTCACAGTGAGGATGCCAGGAAGGAGCTTGGAGAAAGGGAGAGAGGATGCGCAGCAAACAGGGACGGGAGCTGGAGGAGAAACAAGGAACTCCAAACACCAAGTGCTAAGCTGTAACCAACAGAGGACATTCCCATCTCCCAGCCCTCGGCCTGGGCACCAAAAAGCAGGGATAGACAGAGTTTTCCCTGGAAAAACTGAAGATCCATTCCCAGATGGAACACTGAAGATCAGCCACACAGAAAACGTGTGTGTGTGGATGGGAAGGAGAAGGGGGGAGGGTTTGCAAAAGCCACTCTCATTCCATACAGCTGCAAGGAGGAGGAATTCCTGATGGGAGCAGGGAGAGGCTTTGCTGCTGCTCCACAGGACCTGAAGGGTTTAGAGGGCAGGCACCAGGGTGCTGCACACATGAGCTGTGCTTTGCTCTCTGGCTGCTTGGAATTGAGCCTTGTGCTGGGGATGGAGCCCAAGGTCACACCTGAGGGGTGGCTGGAGGAGCTTCCGAGCAGAAGGACCAGTGGAGCTCCTGTGGAGCTCAGGGGAAGGGTGGACTTCGCTTGTGAAGAGCTGCTTGGAAGGAGGGATGGATCCTGCTCCCAGAGCCAATCCCTGCTGTGGTTCTTCCTCGTGTTCAGAGCTGCTGAGCTCCAGCCCTGCCTGCAGGGAGCCAGGCTGGGAGAGCTGGGCTGGGGCAGCTGGAGGAGAGAAGGCTCCTGAAGGGGACACCTCGGAGCAGCTCCAGTGCCTAAAGGGGCTTCAGGAAACCTGGAGAGGGGCTCTGGACAAGGGGAATGGCTTGAACCTGCCAGAGGGGACACCGAGATGAGCTCTTGGGCAGCAGCTCTTCCCTGGGAGGGTGCTGGGACACTGACACAGGGTGTCCCCTGTGTGTGAGGAGCTCGGGATAGAGCCGTTCCCCTCCTCGGCCCCAGCCCTACCTGTGAACTGGGCGCTGAGGACCTGGGGGTTGTGGATGATGTCCTTCCAGAGCAGCTCGAACTCGGGGATCCTCGCCACGTTCTGCAGCAGCCGCACCAGGTCCCGGCCGATCATGAAGCAATCCATGAACTGGGGAAAAGGAGAGGGAAACCCTCACTTACTGCTCACCTGCCCTGAGCAGGAACAGGAGGAGAAGGCAGGAACAGAGCGTCCTTCAAGCCTCCCACCACCTCCAGATGATTCACTGGGTATCTACACCCCTGCCCCTCTTTTGGAGCCGCAGCTTCAGACGCAGGGTGACAGGGGGAAGGTCAGCAGCTATTTTAAGCTGTTCCCTCTCTTGTAAAGCAAACAATGAGCCCAGAAATGTGCCATTCTGCTGCCAGGGCTGCAGCAGGCTCTGACGTTAAGGCTTGGTCCTTCCTGCCCAGTGAGGGGAAGGGGAGAGCAGGCAGCACTCGGGGACCCAGCACGCGCCACCTCTAGTCCACGCAAGCTGGGAGGTAACTGGTGTGAAGAACCACTTCCAGCTCCATGAGGAACGTGTGCAACGGCACCATGGGCTCCCCGTGGAGGCAGGACCCTCCTCCCCATCCCCCCCTCGTGCTCACCCGTTCACGGAGCAGGGAGATGCAGAAGTCCACCTCCTTCTGGCGCAGCCCCTGGAGCTGGGCCGTGCCGTGGTGGTCCACGATGAGCCGCAGGTAGGTGTACACGGCCATGGCGACCAGCAGGCTGCTCTTCAGCACCCACTCTCTGCAAGGGGAACCCAAACCAGCACCCTCAGCCTCCCCCATGAGGGAGTCACAGCCAGGAGCGGTTTAAACACGGGGAAACTGAGGCACAAAGGGAAGGGGAGGGCCTCCAGCCTGCTCCTCCATGGACCATTCCCTGCTCCTGGCTGCTCTGCTCCAACACTTGTGCCAGCACCTCACCACCCTCATAGGGAAGAGCTTCCGAAGATCCCATCGCAACCTCCCCTCTTCCTGTTGGCCACATGGTGGCTGATAGAAGCCAGGATGCTCTTGGCCTCCTCGGCCACGCTCCACTGAGGAACACCCCCAGCTCCTTTCCCAATGGGCAGCATTCCAGCCACTCGGAGTGTTCCATGGGGTTGTTGTGACCCAAGTGCAGGACCCGGCCCAGAGCCTTGTTGAACCTCAGACAACCGCCACAGCCCATGGATCCAGCCTGTCCAGATCATCGAATGCTTTGGCAGGGACCTTACAGATCAGCCAGATCCCTCTGTAGAACCTTCCTATGCTCAAGCAGAACAACTCCTGCCCAGCCGGGGGTTGTCTGAATGAGGGTGCACTTGATCCCCTCATCCAGATCATTAGTAAAGGTATTAGTATCAGATTAGAAGCTGTGGCTGCCCCATCCCTGGCAGTGGTCAAGGCCAGGGTGGAGCAACCTGCTCCAGTGCAAGGTGTCCCTTCCACTGGGTTGCAACTGGATGAGCTCCAAGCTCCCTTCATCCCAACTCATTCCACAGTTCTGATCCTGAGAAAGCCACTTGTTTCTCCACCAAGGGGCTCCATGTCCTGAGCACAAGCTGCTGCTTCCGTCCCACTTCCTCAGAGCTGCTCAAGTGATTCCAGCCTGGAATCACTCCTCCTGCCCGCCCCAGCTCCCTGCTGCTGGGTGTGCCACGTTCCCAACCTCCCTTATCTACGCTCCACAATAAATAGCCCTGCTCCATAAAAAGGAGCTCAGTTGTTTGTGCTGGATGCCAAGAAGGAGCCACCTCGGTGCCTCCAACGTGATTGATCACCCCAGGAGCTGTAAATCAAGTGTCCCGGGGCCGTGGCACCACCGGGGGCAGCAGCTCCAAGCCACGGCCACCTGAAGGGCCCCCAGGTGCCCTCAAGCATCAGTGTTTGTTTCCCCACACTCGTCTCCCTTCCTTAGCAGAGGTTGTGTTAGGAAGGGAGTGGGAATCCTTAAGGTTGAGATGCTGGGGGGGGACACACCAGGTCAACGAAGAGTTGGGCAGCAAATGAAGATGCTGTTGAAGAGGAGGGAGGAAAGAGCCACCCACAGCCCCAGGACTCATTGACCTGCCAGGCAGAGGAATGGGAACACTGAGGGAACGCTGCATCCATGCCCCCAGCAGCAGCAGGATGATGAATTAACAGCAGTGAGAGGCAGCAGAGTGGCCTCATCTCAGCCTGGAGAAGCAGCTCTGCTGTGGCTGGTTTTAATTAAAGCTCTCAGCACCCTGAATGTGGCATCAGCTCTTCACATGCGTGGCTTTAATTAAAGCTTGCCCCTAATCAAAGCACATAAATCCCAGCAAGGAGCTGCAGGTTGTCCCCTGGGCTCCCTTCCAAGCCTCAGCTCTCCTGGTGCTCAGTGGCCGTGCTGCTCCATTGGAACTCCAGCAATGCCCAGCACAGGGGCTGAGCCCTTCCCTCCCACACCTGCTCCTGTGACAAGCTGCTCTCCTGGGGTGACAAAGCTCAGCTGTGATTCATGGAGCCTCCTCCTGCAGCCCCACAGCCACATGTGCCCCCCTGAGAAGCTGCTCCTGCTCCTGCCATGCAGCCAGTTGCAGTTGTTGGCTCGCAAAGCAAGAGCTGCAACGTGGAAGAGGAGCACTTCCAATATCCTCCAAGGCAGGGGGTGGCTGCACCAGCACATGGGACCATGGCTTTAAACAGCATGGAATGGGTTAGAAGGGACCTTGAAGCTCATCCCGTGGCAGGGACACCTTCCCCTAGAGCAGCTTGCTCCAACCTGGCCCCTGAGCTCAGCACAAAGGCAGAGAGATGTGGTGAAGAACCAAGGCCAGAAGGTCCCTGAGGCTCCCTCCTTCCCCTGGCCAGCCCAGCCCTCGCAGCAGCACGTCCCTGCACAGCTATTCCTGGAATAAAATTCACTGGGGCTGTTAAATGCAGCCAAATAAATGCTTTAACAACCTGCTTGTTAAGCACAGGAGTAAGTGGTTGGAGGAGAAGGGCTGCTGTTACAGTGCCTGCTGACGAGCTGGAGGCCATTGGGAAGAAATGACTCTGCCCAGCCCAAGCCTGTTGTTAGGAATTCTGCTTCTCGTCAACTGCTGGCTGCTTTGCCAACAAAGGACAATGCTGATTCCATAGGACAATACTCCCCAGCTGGCCTGGCCACAACAAATCCCAGTTGCAGCCCTGATGAAACAGGAGCTGTTTAAACACAGGAAGCTTTTAGGGCAATTAACTCCAGCCTCCTCCTCCAAAAGGAACCCCCCCCGCAGCTCAGGAAGGGAATATTCCTGGGATGCTGCTCCTGAGGCACGTGTGCTCCAGGAGGTGTCACCCCAAGGGGGGGCTGGACACCCACTTGGTGTTGTGTGGTAGGGACATGCGAGGAGAGGCACCAGGCATGTGAGTTGATGGGACATGCAGCCCCCCTAAAGCCACCTGGAGGGGCTGCGGGACACTCTCCCCCCCACAACCTGCAGCAAGAGGGGTGGACTTGGTGATCCTCAAGGTCTTTTCCAACCTAGTTGATGCTATCCAAGGGATAGTCCTCTGATAGTCCAAAATAGGCTGGGTAACACCGAGGTGCAGGGAACCCCATCACCACACTCCGACATGTGCTGCCACCACCCCACTGCCTCGCAGTGAGGACAACCACCCTCTCAAGAGGCAGATGGGGAGGTCTCTCCCTCCATCCTGTGCCTCCTCCATGCGTCCCCCAGCCCTACCTCTGCTCAGTGAGGATCTCCAGCACGTTCTCAGCCAGCCAGATGTTCTTTGCTGTCACATCCCCACCTGAAAGCAAAAGAGCAAGCGGGAAAAGCCACTCATGACCCGGTGTGGATCCGCCGCCAGGCTCAGCCCCACCATGAACCACCTCCATCCCTGGACCCCTGAAGGAAAAGCTCATGAAGGGCCCAGTTCCAGCCCCCTGCCATGGGCAGGGACACTTTCCACTGGAGCAGGTTGCTCCAACCTGGCCTTGAACACTGCCAGGGATGGTTCATCCAGACCTTCTCCACTCAACCCATTCCAGTGTTCCACCACCCTCACAGGGAAGAGCTCCTAATCCCCATCTCCCCTGCGACAGGTTAAACCTCTGCAGAGCCTACAAAGGGGAAACAGCATCTGGAAAGAACTCTCCAGCAAAGACCAGGTGTCCAAGAGGTGTCACCCCCCCGTGCATGGACCTTCTGCACGGAGCCAGAGCCCTGGGCTGGGAGCAGAGCAGAATCCGTGCTCCAGGGGCAGGGAACTGCCTACAGCAGCCACCCAAAACAATGGCTGAGGCCAAGGAGAGCAGCAGACCCACGGCAAGGAGTGAGACAGCACCCTCCTTCCAGCACAAAGGGGCCCTGCCCGGGGAGGTGGGACCCCGGGGAAGCACGTGCTGTGTGTGCACTGGTGGCAGGGCCAGCTTGGCTCCCGCTCAGCCCCTGTCCCCTCCTCTCCATCCCTCCTCCCCTCAAGAGCAGCCACAGCAGTTCCCAGCCCGGGTCCCGGGCACACACAGTGCAGACACAAGGTCAGGTTTTATGGTGGGACACGAGTTCCTCCTCTGTGGACGTCAGGGGCAGCGCTGAGGAGGGAACACGGAAGAGGCACCATTCCTGGGAAGCAGGAAAGGCGTGTGCACGTGTGTGCTTAGCCCACGCCTTCAGGGACACACTCTGGGCTACCAGGAGGCCAGTTCCCTGGAGGAGCTACGGGAAGCAGCGCCCACTGTCCCTTCAGGAGCTGCACACACGGCTCTGGCTATTGGAGCAGGGACTAAGGATGATCCCAGTGCTCCGGGGTGAAAGGAACCAAGATACTTCCTGGCTGCTCCAGCACTTGCCAGAAGCCTCCTGGCTCTCCCTGTGATTCACCCTTCACAGAGGCTGCTGGGAGCA